CCTCAGGGCCATCTGCTCCACGGAGGCGGGGAGAGCGGCAGCCGGCTCCTGCGCTCACCTGGTCACACAGGGCTCGGGTCTTTGGAGTCCAAATGGCCAGCAGCACATTGCGACCTTGTGAGGTTCGATCAACAGGCACTTCTCTCCGTGCGGGATCTTAAGAGCTGAGCAGAGACCCCAGCCAGGTCTCAAGTCCTCAGCTGGCCACGGACGGGTTTGGCCTCACAAGATAAGCTCTGTGCTGGCGAGAAGAGGTCTTCTTTGGGGCAGAACTCGTTTACTAAATCAATGAGTATCACCCACCCACAGCCTGTGGGCTCTAACCTCAGAGCCAGCGACGTGCTGGGTAGGCTAACGCCATCCCTGTCTGACTCAATTCCCAATGTGTTCAGTTGCAAATGACAGGCAACCTTAAGATGGGGGCTTGAATACATACAGGTTTATTGTTATCTTCTAAGAAGCATTTTGGAGGCAGGCTTCTCAAGGCTGGGCAGCTGGCAACGATGCCGTAAGGGACTCAGGCTTTCTATAGCATTGTATTTTTTGCCACTGACAAGGAGGTTTATCCTCATGGTTACAAAATGGCCACTGTACTTCCAGAAATCACACTTACATTCCAGGTGAACCCCAAACCTTCTCCCAAATCCTGTCTTTTTTTCTTGTGGAAGTCCTTCCTACAGGTTTTGTTTCTACCTCATTGAACAAAATTATGTCACATGGTCATCACCAGCTGGAATGTGTCTAAAAATGTGAAAGGGGGAGATGGATCAGAATGGTGTTGATGAACCTTTTGACAGTGTCTATCATAACGTCTGAGTGAGGCCTACAGGAACAGACAGGGAGCAAACACTTCATCATCAAACATTCCTCCATCACCATTAGGAAGGTCTCTATGAAGGATCAAGGACACAAAGATAGCATGTCTCTCAGACTGAGTATCTTTTGAAGTAGACACTGAGATAAGAATTTGAGGGCAATAATTTTATTTTGAGGGTGATCCTGGGACGTCCTGGGATGTGAGTGGGGAACTGAGGTGGAAAAGGGAGAAGGGAAGGCAACTCAGGTGAGACGTGTGCACGATGAACGATGCTGAACGATGCGTGTGGGAGTAGATGTCATGCACACATGTGGACTTTTTAATGTAGATTCCTGCTATTCCAGATCAGGAAAGTTCTGCTAGCACCACTTCATAGGAGACTCCACCGCATTTTAAAATGAGCACCTGTTTGGTAGTGACCCACCTGCTCCATACCTGGGCCACCTCATCTTCACAGCCGGCTCAGACTCACTTAGTTAAAGCCTGTGCGTGGAACCAAGGAATCAGTACCTGCCACGGCCCTGCTCCCTGATCTGTACCCTCCCACCTCCTTACCAACCTGGGTAGAAGCACTCAGCTATGCTGTACCAAATCGGCAAAACAACTTCCCGGGTTTGTGAATCACTTTAGAATTTTTGTTTTTAGAACCATGAGTTGAATAAATGATTCTTCTTCTTCTTCTTCTTCTTTTTTTTTGGCACTGGGAATTGAACCCAGGGGTGCTTAACCGCTGAGCCACATCCCCAGCCCTCTTTTATATTTTATTTAGAGACAGGGTCTCACTGAGTTTCAAGTGCCTAGCTAAGTTGCTGACGCTGGCTTTGAACTCCTGATCCTCCTGTCTCAGCCTCCCGATTGCTGGAATTACAGGTAGGCGCCACTGCATCCGGCTGAATAAATGATTCTTTATCAGAGAAGTGAGACGTTAGCTTGACCCTCTACTTTTAGGAACCGGAGATTTTCTTATAGGAAATATTTCAATTGCTACTTTCCCCACTTTCTTTGAATGCCGGGACACTCCATCCATTCTATTCCTTGGCTTAGGAAGTTTTCTTATCATCCAAGAATTAGATTACTCTTTTGAAATTCAGACCTATGAATAATCCATAAAATATCACACATGCTGCTTACTGTGCAGTCGCATGGCCACTGTTTTATATGTCCAAACTGCTACGTGCACAGTGGCTCACAGACTTCTAATCTTATGTGTGTGTGTGTGAGTGTGTGTGTGTGTGTGTGTGTGTGTGTGAGAGAGAGAGAGAGAGAGAGAGAGAGAGAGAGAGAGAGAGGGAGAGAGAGAGATACTCAGGCAGCAGCAGGCCCAGAGCTGACGGTGTGGGCGTGGCCGTGGCGTGGTGTGGGCGTGGCTTAGGCGGTGCTGCCCATGGAGGTCACAGTGAGAAGGTGGAAGAAAAGTCCTGAGTAGCAGCTGCCAGGGAACTGCCCCTCTCCTGCAGGATACTGGTCAAGGGGTGACGAGCATGTGGTGTGCAGAATCAGCCGGCTGTGATCTTGTTGGTGACAGCTCTGTCACTTGCTGTGATGCCACTCAGGATGAGGATGAGTAACAAGGAGGAAGACGTGATGGTGTTGGAAGAGTCCAGCCACAGGCAGGAGCGTCCTCCCCGCAGCCCACCACCCCATGCCGTCAGCGCCACTCCCGCAGTTAAAGAAAACCTTTCACCTCCCCTGGCTCCGCAGGCCACCACCCCAGCCCAAGCTGGGACCATGATCACGGGCCTCTCGCTTCCCTCGCTCCCCTCCATTCAGTGCTGCACAGTGAGCCCCCCGAAGGGTGGAGGTTTTTAAAAAGTGAGCAGGAGCATTTCAGTTCCCTGCTCAAATCCATTTAGAGGTTTGCGCTGAAATCCAAACTCCGTTCTGGAGTCCAGCTCTGTTCCTCTATGCACCCCGCCCCATGCCCTAGCCTGGTCTCCCTCCTCTCAGAAGGTATGTCCTTCAGCCTCGGCCTCCAGGTCACTTCCACAGAGCGGCCAGCTGAGCCTCCCTCTGTCCCTTCCCTGGGTGCTTAGACGGCTCCACGTTCGCTTACGGATTCTCTCCCGGGCCCAGCAGAGCGCAGCAACTTGTGGATCTTCTAATGATGGTTCCTTGAGAATGTGTCATGCAGTATCTGGTCGGTGGTGCACACCTGTCATCCCAGCGACTGAGGAGGCTGAGGCAGGAGGATCCCAAGTTCAAAGCCAGCCTCAGCAACTTAGCAAGATCCTGTCTCAGAACAAAAAATGGAAAGGGCTGGGGGAGAGTTCAGTGGCAGAGTGCCCGGGGCTCAGTTCCCAGGAGTGGGGAGGAAGAAACGTCACGATAGGCCAAGACTCTGACCTCCCAGTCAACAGGGCAGCCTTCAAGGGGCCTCACTGCAGCCCCCAAGGCTGGCCAGCCCCTGGCCTCTGGAGTCCGCCTCTTTCACCCCTCTGTGCCACACAAGGGTGAGAATTTTCTCAGAGCCTTGCCTTGAAAAAGCCTGGGCAGCTGCACCAAACCCTTGCCAGGACAGGCCTTGCCGGGGGTGGGGGCTGTTCACGGCTGTATTAACAGGAGCCCAGTGTCAGGCGCTAGAAGGCCCCAGAAGTATTCCTTACAGGAATGGAAGGCTTTAGCTGGTGACGAAGACGGTGGAATGATAGGGACGTTGGGGTTGATACGAAGAGAATGGCCATGGTGGCACTGAAGGAGAGGGTGATGATGGGGGACAGTGAGGGCTGGGACAGTGGGAGCCGGGATGGTGGAGGTGTCCTGTGGTGGTGATGGTTAGTGATGGTGGTGGTGGTGATGGAGATGGTGGTGGTGGTGGTTAGTGATGGTGGTGGTGGTGGTTGTGGTGGTGATGTTTTAGTGATGATGGTGGTGGTCATGGTGGTGGTGATGGTGGTCATGGTGGTGGTGTTGGTGTGGTCATGGTGGTGGTGATGGTGATGGTTAGTGATGGTGGTGGTGGTGATGGAGATGGTGGTGGTGATGGTTAGTGATGGTGGTGGTGGTCGTGGTGGTGGTGATGGTTAGTGATGGTGGTCATGGTGGTGGTGATGGTGATGGTTAGTGATGGTAGTGGTGGTGGTGATGGAGATGGTGGTGGTCATGGTGGTGGTGATGGTTAGTGA